GAGAGAGAGAGAGGGGGGCAAAGGGAGGTGGTGGTTGTGATGAGGGTGTTGCACGCGTTCAGCTTTTCTGACGTCCCAAGCCCTATTCAAAAACCCTAACTCGCACGCCTGCCCCCACTCCCTCGTTCCCCAACAAAAAGATGGCAAAGAAACCCTTATATTAATTAATTTATTCCGAAAATGCCCTCTCCATGAGAATCTATATTCACATCTTTTCATAACCCATGTCAGGTCTCAAACTTTCAATACCAATCTTAAAAGGAAAAAACACCATGTACTGCTGCCTCCCCACTAAGGCTAAAAAGCGCAAAAGGTAGGAGATACCAAAACAAAGCAAGGAGCCCACCCTGCGCAATCTAGAGATAGAGAGAGAGAGCGAGAGAAAATAAAGGAAGAATCCTTGTAATACCCTTTTCTTATTTCATGCTTTCCAAAACAATCCATATGTTTTTCAAGCTCTTGATTTCTTGCTCTAGTATATCAGAATTTTTTTTTATTTTTTTTTATTTTTTTAAGGGGGGCCTTAAGTCGGTGGGGATGACGACAAGTTCCTGCCTGTCTTGAAATAGTCAATTTTTTAATTTGTTAGTGAGAATGGAAGTCAAGATCTTTAATCGAAGATCGCGTGGTACTACTACCATGGCCTTAGCCTCATTCTCGGACTGCTATCACAACTTAATTGTAGTGTCCTATTTTTGTATTTTTTTAGATTAGTTTGGATTGAATTATAGGACAATTGGGAATAATTTCCTCGATAAAACTTTATTTAAAGTTAAAAAATTGAGAAGTTAGGAAATATTAGTTATCCCAAATTAGAGGCAGTTTGGGTATTTCACTCTGTCCCTTGAAAATCAATTTAGAAAGAGATCCATTCGATCTCTCTCTCTCTCTCTCTCTCTCCCGATATAAGTTTTGATGCTCAATCCATATTCTCTCTCCCTGAGGAACATTCATTAGTCTCTTCCTCCATCCCCTCACTCTCTCTCAAGAATCTCTTTCTCTCTACCTCCATGGATTTGATGATCAATCACCAGTCTCTATTTCTTGATGATAGTTCATCGGTCTCCTCCTCTCTTTCTTCGTAATCATTCCCCTCTCTCTCTTTCTTTCTCTCTCTCACTCAATGGAGGACTCTCTCTTTCTTTCTCTCTCTACCTCCATATATTTGATGATCAAGCAGCAGTTTCTATTTCTTGATGATCATTCATTAGTCTCATGCTCTCTTTCTTCATGATCATTCCTCCCTCTCTCTTTTGTGTGAGCTTGAGTTGAGGGGTGGATACTCTCATGCATCACCTCAATCAACTTGCATTCCACACACGCACACACACACTCTCTCTCTCTCTAGACCTCATAGTTTCCATAAGACCCAAAGAAACCTCCACTCTCTCTCTGTTTAACCCCCTAAATCCATGGTGTCTTTGCTCTTAAATGGATACTCTCTTTCGCCTTGTCACTTTCCACCAACCCCAACAAGATCACCATCACCACCACTCGTTCAACTCCTCAACCACTTCTCTCTCTTCAATCCCCTCTCTCTCTTCAACTCCATCTCTCTCTTCAAACCACCAGCCATGCAACATCAACAACCAAAGCCACAACCCTTTCATGGATGAAGAAGACTTCTCCTCCTCCTCTAACCCTAACCCTAATCCTAACTTTGACCCGAGCCAGTTCAGCTCGCCAAAATGGGCCCTAAAAGTGCTTGTCGAGTGCGCCATGGCTATAGAGACTCAGGACTCGACTCGGACACAGCACTTGCTCTGGGTCCTTAACGAGCTATCGTCACCCTACGGCGACACGGACCAAAAACTCGCGGCCGCTTTTTTGCAGGCGCTATTTTGCAAAGTAACAGACTCTGGCCGAAAAACTCACCGGAATCTCGTGGCCGCCGCCGAGAAGATGTACACCTTCGAATCCACACGTCGCATGATGCTGAGATTTCAGGAGGTGAGCCCATGGACCACGTTCGGTCACGTGGCGGCAAATGGCGCGTTGATCGAGGCAATGAATGGCGAGAACAGGATCCACATCGTGGATATAAGTGGGACCTATTGCACACAGTGGCCGACACTCCTGGAGGCCCTGGCGACACGCTCAGATGACACTCCACATGTGAGAATCACCCATGTACTCAGCAGTGTCGGCCCGGCCGGTCACCGCGTGTCGAGAGAGATCGGCGCTAGGATGGAGAAGTTCGCCCGTCTAATGGGAGTGCCCTTTAACTTCTCCTCCCTCCACGTGGCGGAAATTGAGGCCCTCAACCATGAAAATCTAAAGCTGCAAGAGGGTGAGGTCCTCGCCATAAATTGCATTTTCTCGTTACACAAGGTGGGACCGACAAGCCGCGACACTGCCGTGTCGGCTCTTCGTCGGCTTGATCCTAGGGTTTTGACCTTGGTGGAAGAGGAAGTTGACCTTGACTCCGACCGGGGACAAGGCTTCGCGGCTTGGCTCGGAGAGTGTGTCCGTTTCTTTAGGGCTTACCTGGAGTCTTTGGACGAGAGTTTCCCTAAAGCCAGTGAGGAGCGGCTCATGTTGGAGCGCGCCATGGCTCGAGCGGCAGTCGACTTGGTGGCTTGCCCGGCTGACGAGTCAAGAGAACGGCGCGAGCGGTCAGGTTGGTGGGCTAGGCGCATGCGAGCCTGTGGTTTCGGTCCAGTGGGCTTCAGCGACGACGTTTTGGACGATATGAGAGCTCTGTTGAGGAGGTACAGAGAGGGGTGGAGCATGGGCCTGGGCAGAGCCGATGATGAAGCAGGCAGTGGGGTTTATTTGGAGTGGAAGGAGGAGCCCATGGTTTGGGCCTCGGCCTGGAAGCCGTAGCCGAAATTTCAGCCCCAAAAATGGCGAAAAAGGTATTAGGGTAGCGAAAGGATTGGCCGTGCATGAGTTGGTCAGAGATTGGGCCGAAATTTCGTGGTGTAAATGGGGAATGTTTCGCGAGAAATTGGGAGCTGGGGTGAGCTGCTTTCATAGAGTGAGGGATGGTGGGGTGGGCCACGGCGTGTTAGTGCGGAGCTGCTTTTGAAGCTTTCTTTTGAATATGAATGTGGAAAGGAGGAATTGGTTCTTTTGAGGCCCACTTCAAATTTGGCTTCTTTACTTAAAGCTAAAAGAGTGAGGCTTGTTTCATTGCTTTTTATTTTTTTCTCTTGTTTATGTTGATTTTTAAGGAATGAGTTGTCTACTATGTTGCGGAATTTGGTACTCTTCAACTTTTTTGTTGCTCTCTTATTTATTTATATATATATATATATCTAATTGGTTTTTTTTTTAAGCTACACCACTTTGGTGGTATATACCTTTAAAAAAGTCATCAATATTTTTTAACTATTAATAGAATGTCACTATTTTTTATAGAAATATCCATTCTATTCTTCTAAATGACCAAAAATGCCTCTACTTGAAAATTTTGTATTCCAATTTAAATGTATCTACATGTCCAAAAATGTTGAAGACTTTCAGAATATACACCATCAAATATATATATATATATATGGAGTGGATTCTGTCAGCCCACTGGCTGACTGCTACAGTGTCAGTCAATGGCTCAGATTCAATCTAGGATGATCTAACGGTTACAATCTCATTTTTGTATTTGAATTTTTATATTTTTTTTATATATCAAAATCACTTGAAATTTTAGACATGCATTTTTCTCATCAAGGCGCACCTAATAAAAATATAAAAAAATAATTCGTAAAATTTAAATTAACCAAAATACCTCCGAAATATTTTTGAAG